TGATCTCCACCGTCTTCTCCACTGGTGTCAGCGACTGTGAAGAAGCTGCAACTGACTCGACAGGGCTGTGATTAGCACGGAGCTGCTCAAAGTAGAGAACTTGCACCACAACTCGTAATGGAAGTCGCTCGTTCTGTGCTGCGTGTGTTGATGCCTCGGTCGTTAGTTTCCTTACATCCATTAACCCGCAAAGTCTCTTCTTTTCCGATTTCGTTAGCTCCAGATGTTCCTACAAAAACAAAATTTCAGAAACCAGAGTTGCAAAACTCGCTCTGTTGAACAAGAATGTTTGAAAATGCTTTATTTACCTTCAAGAAAGTGTCAATGGCTTTGTATAGACCGTCGTGGATCGGCCTAGCTGATTCCGGGATCAGCTCGGATAACGTAATGAAGCTAGAGAGTGTAAGAGCAGAGTTATGTGCGAGGTAAGCATCGATCAATCTTCCTACGCTCAACAAAATCCCATTTCCTAAAACAAACTCCTTGTACCGATCATCTTCAGAGACACGTTTCTCTTCAGCCATGAACTGATCGACAATCCGATGAACTAATTCCACTTCATGGATTAGTAGATCCTTAACCGAGGCCTCGTGCAGCTTCAAGCTCACGTTTTCAACCAAATCTTCCTTTACAGTCTCATCAGCACCAACCAAGATTGAAGCTTTAAGGAGCTTCAGCAAGAAGCTGCAAGTAGAGTAGCTCATCGCTCTATTTACTCTGGGCAACAAGAAAACAACCGTCTCAACGAGATGTTTGTTTGAAGAAGCTTCTGATGTTAAAGACTCCATAGATTCTGGTAACCACTTAGCAACATAGTACCTAAGAGCTTCTGCAATTACACCGTTGTTCATCCTTCCACTCGATTTCACAGTACTCATCACCCGCTTGAACATATCAATCTCAAGCACACATACATCTTCAACCCACCAATCTTTTGGAATTACATTCTCCTCTCTCTTCTCCCGATGATACTCGATTATCTTATCGGGTCCAGATAACTTCCTGTTGTGTGTATAAGACCAAGTGATCGTCTCGGGGTTCACCAAAATCTTAGATGAAACTGAATCAATGCATCTACCAACAAGCTTCAGATCTTCAGACCAAGGAAGAAGAGATTTTGTCGTCTGAAGCACATTGATCGAGTCTTTCCAGCTTCTGAATATTCCCGAATTGAGGAAAACCTCGGTCTTGTATATGAGATTACCGCGATCAGCATCTTCAGTCATTTCAAGATACTCAGCTGCACATCGCACAGCGGTTATGTCGAAAGCATTGAGCGTGACAGTCATCCCGTAGCAAAACTTAGCACAGATCTCAAACGCTTCGTGTCCTCCCGGGATGTCTAATATAGTGATCTCATCGGTTTTATCCTCATTCACCTGACAAACCAGTCTCTGCATCCGATTGCTTTTCGATAGCAGCGGGAACTGAAAATATAACAATGCAGCATTAGAAAAAAGGATCAATCTTCCATTGCAATTGCATCACTTAAGAATCCATCTAGAGCATTACAGATATGTACCTTATGGAGGTGAAATGTGACCTCGCCGACATTTATAGTAAGATCGCTGTCTAGATCCGAGATAGCATACCTGCAGATTAAAATTTTGGCCAAGAACACAATCAGCTAAACAAGAACTCTACGGATTGATTGATTAGTCAAAACTCCTTTGCTAAGCATTTTTATGTCAGGTTCAAAACCATAAGCACATGCAGATTTATCATGTTTAAGTCTCAAACAACCTAACAAAAGACCGAACCTTGCCTAAAAATAAATCATTTTTTCTCATTTCTCTTCCAGAAGAATACAAAGAAAACAAGATTCTTAGCCTAGTTTAGAGTATCCAGATGTCAAAAATTGGAAGAGATGTCTCAGATATTTACAGAAACAAAAGCACAAGTAACAAAAGAAAGAGAGATTCTTCACTTTCTGAAATTGAAGAAAACTCATTATCATCATTCTCTTTTGCTTTCCACTCTTTTGCTCTTACAAATCAGGACC